GGTCTTGATGCAGCTAGATTTGCAATCTCCCAGTATAACTGTTCATCCAGTTTTTACGCAACTCAGGGTCAGTCGCATCTGAGATATCTGCAATATCCTTCATTCCATGGCATTCTGTTTCCACGTCGCACATCTTTGCTACGAACTTGTCTTTCGGATTTCAGATCCACCTGCAGAGCTATCGTCTTGTACACTCAGTTTGGTCACCATTTCACATCAAAGGATTCTCGAGAGAAGTGAAGTGCACTTTGTTATCGAATGTCGATCTTGCTAAGAACCTTCTTGCTTGTTTATCGCGTCTTACATAACACGACAGAAACAGCATGATCTGGTTATTTGTCATGTTGTATGGTTTCTTTATTCTGTATTCTCACCGTTATTACCACCAAAACATCTGGGATTTTACAAGTGTCCAATGGTCAAAATTTAAAGAACGTTTTTTGAAGTGTTACATTTCAAAACTTACAGTTCATAAATGCAATAATTGCACTAAGGGTGCAATTATTGCATTCATATGGTCCTTGAACCTCTCATTCTCTCAGGTTATAATAGAAAACCCTTCTGCTGCAAAAGCATAGACTCGAATAATATCTTCCACTGACTCTGATGATCCAAGCTCTATCTTACATTATCATTGGGGATGACTCTTAGTGGAACATTTTCTACGAAATTCACAACAATATACCTTGGTCCTCAGTGCTCATAGTAATGAGGAACAAGGTATAGCAAATATCACAAATTGTTAGATATCTCAAAATTTATCCGAACTCAACTGGAAATTTTTTAACGTACTATTTTTCACTCTCGGCTTGTACTGAACATAAGCCAGTTCACTCCATTGAAGACAATGAAGATGTTGGGCTGGACACTTTTGATACTTTTTGTGGGACCTTGGCTAGAAAGTACAATGCGAAGTGCATTGATTCCTCTGCAAAGTCCATAGGAATCATGCCACCCTCCTCTCTGCTTTTTCAACATGCGCTTTGAGCCAACCGCAAGCTGAGTGGACTATTTTTGCGTGGAAGACTCGTTCTTTTTTACGCTTCTTCACCTCAACTGGTGCTCACCAGAGGAAAGTTTAATTTAAAAACGACATAATTCATTAGTTTGAATCTCATTCTATTGCAACTGTGCTCTGCAAAGAAAACTACTGAGTGCTCTATGATATCATGTAGCTACTATAACATTCACACTATTCTTCAAGAGCCGGTTCGCCCAAAAGGTTGGTTTCCAGTTACTGTCTAGTTGACGGTGTGCCACCTGCACAACTAGGACGACCTCAGGGATCTCAAATCCGAACTTCAAAAACCACGTGAAATTGATCTGCACAGTTTTGAATTGTACATAAACCGCATTTTCCAGTCAGTTGCAGACAACGTTCCATGTTAGTTTGGTCCCTGGACCATACCTGCACTAGAGTAGCCAAATAGTCGAAAACGTCCAGTCACAAAACTCTGCCTTTATTCATTTCCGATCATTTCTGAAAGCTTTTGTCGAGATATGGTTGTTGAGATTTTCCCTTGAGTTGAACCCCGCAGCACTTAGCACAAAACCTGACATTCGATTGTATTTTCATGATCAGGGCATCCACCATGACAATGCACCTACATTTTCAATTTCTTTTTTACACACCTCTGTAAAGCTTTCAAACACCTCGTACAAACCTTTCTGGAATCTTCACCACATGTTCTACTTTTGACTTTCCGGGTGTCTACGACTCATAGACTATGAGTCAGAGTCTATGATTCATAGACAACCGGAAAGTAAAAATCACCCTTTGCACACTCACCAAAATAAACGGGTACGTCATAGACTATGACGTACACGTTGATTTTGGTGAGTTTGCAAAGCCAAACATAATGAACCTGAATACAAAAATCAAATGATGAATTCGTGCTGCTAAGATGAAAAACTCTTGTAGTCTGGTCACGATATGCATGGCCTACGTGATCTCAACGTAATCTTCCTGCCATGGATCCAAATTTTCTAATTCTGAAATAATGCAAATATGAATAAGTTAAATTTGTTGATTATGTGAATGAATAATATGTTCAACTGTTCCAGATTTCATAATACCCATCATAACCTTCATTTTAATATAATGTTTCAACACAAAGTGTTTTTTTCGCTTTTTCAATGTTGCATCTGCTTGTACATTTCAAAGTAATTGCTACCATAAAAAACATTGCACATGTTTACTTTATACCATCTTGATTGGCAAAAAGTGTTAATTTTGAAGATATTCTTGAAGCAAATTCTTATGATCAATCCATATTTGCACCTGTTTGATCACTTGATGACCTCTTGGATGTTGAAAAACTTGATCATTGTGTGAAAGAGGTAAAATGTTTGCCTCCTTGATGATCTCTTGTATTTTGGAAAATTTGATCCGTGTGTGGAGAGGTAACAAATTCCCTTGTTGAAGATGTGATGATCATACATATGGTAAAAAACAATTGATTTGATGTAAAAAACCTTGCTTCCGAACCTAGATCCCCATATTAATAAATTTTTTTGCTTCTTTATGCTTTTGATGTAGCCAAGAACTTTATTGAATTGTTTCTTGCCAATTTGATGTCCTTGCTCCACTCTTATGCAGAAAGTATTTTAGACAATTTACTTCAAAGCTCTTCTATTGTGATTGGTTCTACATATTCTGGTGCATAAAGATACTATTATGAAGGTTTTGCTTAATATAAAAAGAATTAATATATCAACTACATCAAATATTGCACTACTTTTAAGTCAATGACATGACAATTATATTGATCAAATACAAGTATTGTTCACTTTGGAACAAACCTGAAAATCTTATAATTCTTGTGTTCAAAATAATATTTCTCATATCAACTATCAAGGAATAATTTTAAAGATCATGATAGTGAAATATTTTATTTTTTGAATTTTTATTGGATTAGATTTTTTTTTAAAATTTATATATGTATCATACGAGAATACATGGATTTCATTTAATGATATTAGTTTGTACACAACTTCTTTTCTACAGAGAAAGAATAGAATTTCAACAACACATGTCTAGAAAATCGTAAATTGATTATGAACTACATAGTCATTTTGATTTGAAATAAAGATAATAATATACAAGTAAAATACAAACCAACTTTGTATTTCACATATTCATAGTTTTTGTGATCTTAGAGTTTTTAATGATATATTAATCTATCGCTGGTGTTAGATTGAACAAAAATATAAAGATATTAATCAGAAAACATTGATTTCAAATATTATGTACATGATAGTTTACAATATCCTAATAACAATGTTCGTTGCTGGTTGAGTCAACAACAAATTGAAAATGTTGTTAGCCTATATTTTTTCACTCACTAATGGATAATCTACTTACATTTGACTCATTATGGTTTGCTTTACCAACATTCCTTCAATATAACTCGTATGACTTACTCACAAAGAAATGAAATGATCTCTTGTCTTTTTCGCATAACTTGGAATATACATATTCTTACTCTACGGAAAAGATGCTAACTAAGTACTCTACGTAAGAGATGCTAATTACGTACTCGACGTAATAGATGCTAACTATGTAGTCTATGTGAAAGATGCTTACCAAATTGTCTACATAAAAGATGCTAACTACGTAGTCTACGGAAAAGATGCTAGCTACGTACTCTACGTAAAAGATGCTAACCACGTTGTCTACAGAAAAGATGCTAAGTACGTAGTCTACGTAAAAGATGCTAACTACGTACTCTACGTAAAAGATGCTAACCACGTTGTCTACAGAAAAGATGCTAACTACGTACTCTACGTAAAAGATGCTAGCCACGTTGTCTACAGAAAAAATGCTAACTACGTACTGTACGGAAAAGATGCTTACTACGTACTCTACGTAAAAGATGCTAACCATGTTGTCTACATAAAAGATGCTAACTACGTACTCTACACGGAAAAGATGCTAGCCACGTTGTCTACATAAAAGATGCTAACTACGTAGTCTATGTAAAAGATGCTAACTACGTTGTCTACATAAAAGATGCTAACTACGTACTTTGCATAAAAGATGCTAACTACGTACTCTGTGTAAAAGATGCTAACTACGTACTCTATATAAAAGATGCTAACTACGTTGTCTACATAAAAGATGCTAGCTACGTGCTCTGCATAAAAGATGCTAACTACGTACTCTGCATAAAAGATGCTAACTACGTACTCTACGTAAAAGATGCTAACTACGTAGTCTACTTAAAAGATGCTAACCACGTTGTCTACTTAAAAGATGCTAACCACGTTGTCTACTTAAAAGATGCTAACTACGTACTCTGCATAAAAGATGCTAACTACGTACTCTACGTAAAAGATGCTAACCACGTTGTCTACATAAAAGATGCTAACTACGTACTCTCTGCATAAAAGATGCTAGCTACGTACTCTACATAAAAGATGCTAACTACGTTGCCTACATAAAAGATGCTAATTACGTACTCTGCATAAAAGATGTTAACTACGTACTCGTTGTCTACATAAAAGATGCTAGAGAAATCTTCCAGCGCAATTTCTCGAGACAAGACGGTTGGATATGGCGCAGCATTATGATATCAGACTCAATAGGCAGGTAGCATCTGATATTTCATCGCTGAAGATAGTGTCGAGCTTTGAGATGAAGTTTTAGGCTGCGGTGACCAATGCCGCCAAGGCTATCGTCGTGTAAAATAGAAGCAGAAACTGAAGGATTGCGAAAGGTCAGAAACCCAAGGTTGTCTGAGTTTGTGTGCTCTAATCATCAGCTTGCCGTCCTTCATTTCTCGCGATCAATTGTGATTGAAACCATTGCCGAGCCCCGGTATTGGAGACTATCAGTCGAAAGGACACGGTTACAAATGACAATGGCAGCGTGGAAAGAGGTCTACTGGTTGACTGAGTCCGGCACATTCCGAACAAGATGAAGAGTATCGCGGTTTCACCGCGATTCTCTTCATCTCAAATAGATCCATGTCGAAAGTAATGCCTCACGACCCGCATACTGACTCCTCTTGTTCCAGAGCAAGCCCTCCTTGCAAGACTGGTCGTGTTCATGTGCATCCACGACGAGCCAATCTCGGGTTTGGTCTGTTTGTGCACACTAGTTAACGCACACGGTTTACGCAATCTATCTATCAATTTACCGCGCAACGATTTCTGAGGAACTACAATTTCCAGGCAGAGACGTCTGAGGATCAAGAGCTCGCGGCAACAGCGATCATGGATCATGATTGAAGTTCCGTGAAAGCTTGTCTCTGAAATCATGGGTCAAGAGGGGCAGTCTTCTGTGCACTATGAGAAACGCTAATATTGGAATGAGCAGAATCAGCTCAGACTGATCTCATTGGAGGGCAAAGTGCATGGACACGGCCTTTGTTGGCCGGGTCCGCTGCTACCTGACAATCAATACATCCAATTCGACCCGCGTCGTCACCTGTTGCTGCAAAATCCAAAATGAAGACAGCAGGTCGATCCAAATTTGAAGAATGCTGTATCAACTTTGTTCTGAGGAGTCGAATTCATTTGGATCATTTCCGACAATTTTATGAACAGGTAACTTGGGGATGGATTTGTTGCTCGGTCCTCGATCCAGGTTTAGTTGCCCTTCATATGGAAAAGGTTTCTCGAAGCATCCAGCTGTTCAGACATCAAATCCAGCGTGCAGACAGTCCGATCGACAAGCTTCCTCCACACTTCTTTCAAGCTCCCCATGAGAGAAAGTGGCAAAGTCCGGGAGTATAAGATCCGGCTCGTGGAGAGCACAAAGCAGAAACGAAGTCTTGGTCGAGCTCGTCGGGTGCAAATCATCGGTAAGATATTATCGGGCAAGCAAACTTTCTGGCTCCTCACTTTGTCAACCGACATATGGAGTGACAGTTTCATTATATTCTCTAGGAGATTTAAATTTGTCTCTTTAGCATCCGATATCAGGAAGCATTCACTATGTCTACATTGAATGAAGTCATGAAATATTCACGTGACTGCGCACTACTCTTTAGTCAAGCCTAGCGTACGTACTTCCTCTCTTGTCAGCATGGGCTTGTAGACTCAAGCCTCATGCTCAGCTGCTAAACAGTTTCACTGCAGTCAGCCTTCCGTCGATGAATTATTTCGTCTTCTCAACTCGTCTCAATCTCTAGTATCCCTTCGGTTAATGTACTACTAGGATTGCTTACATATACAGCATTTGAAAGTCCTTGAAACTGAACCTACCTTTCATCTTCATTTGGCCAGCTCAGGCCTTACTCGATCTTCAAAGTACTTGATTTCACTTCCTGTTGTGTACTGCATCAAAGATACAGATTTACTAACCTCAGTTTGAAAGGCAGATAAGGTTTAATTTATTTAATACTGGAGCGATGAAGTTGTTCATGAAATCTTACGGTTATTGCCTGACTTGCAATGTTTTCCGCAGAAGCATCCGATTCAGCTTTGAACAACTGAAAATTTGAACGCTGTATTGCAAGAGGATCGATTCCAAGCGACAGGAACGACATTAAACCATACATTCTTCAAATATGGCTTCAGCTGATTTGAGATGCAAGCTTATATTGTCTGCAATTCTCCTCATGGCCGCTGTAGCCTCTGGGGCTAAACTCTCAAAAAACCATTACTTCAGAACTTGCCCAAGATTGGAGAGGGTCGTCCGTAACAAGGTTAATGAGATAGTCGACGCGGATTCGGGGATGGCTCCAGGCTTGCTTCGGATGCATTTCCATGACTGCTTCGTCAGGGTACGTTAGACCATTTTGTTCTTGAGCTTCAGTCGTTACTGATCACAAAATGATGTGTCCGACGGAATGTCAGACCTCCTTTGTTTGTGTATCATGGTACGATATATTTTGCAGCTACGGCAGGAGGCCTTCTTTTAATCGATATCAACAAAGTCTGCATGCTACGAGGATCCCCAGGATCAGAATTAGACACTCATTTAAGCACGCTTTCAAACTGTTCAGGGTTGTGATGCATCAGTGCTCCTGGATTCACCGACCAACACGGGAGAGAAAGATGCACTACCAAACGCTGGCTCTCTTAGAGGATTTGCCGAAATTGACGCAATCAAGGCAGAAGTTGAAAGCATCTGCCCTGGCGTAGTTTCATGTGCGGATATCCTGGCTTTGGCGGCCCGTGATGCTGTAGTGAAGGTCTGTAATTTCACATTTCTTTAATCTTCCTGTAAGAAAGTCAATTGAATGCGCATGTACGGAGAGTGCAATTAACCATATCGTAAATCATATCGTCTGTCCATTTTGAACATGGACAGAAGAAATTATTGTTGGATACGAAGGAGAAAATAAGCTTGCTCGCTTGCAATTTCTGTCCAACTTGAAGTACTTATCATTCGTTGTCATGACAATGACGGGAGATGATTTTTCGACTCCTACTTTTGTTGTCTTGATCAGCATTTCTGCAAACCAGATTATACTCAATCGATATAATTGCCTGTACAGGTCGGAGGAAGATATTGGTCTGTACCTCTTGGGCGGAAGGATGGCTTTGTATCTTCTATGGCTGAAGCCAACACCGTTCTGCCCTCTCCATTCATGACCTTCCCCCAGCTTGTACTGAACTTCGCTGCTGTTGGACTCAACGTCATGGATCTGGTCATTCTTTCAGGTACTTTTCTCGATATATGTTATTTAGACAAGATCCCAATATTTGAACTCAATGTGGATCTTCTGGCATTCTAAAAATTGGATATTATAAAGACAACGACCCCGGGTCTCACAAGTGCACTAACGTACAGACATTTCTCTTGTTGCAGGTGGACACACTATCGGCCAAGCTCATTGCGCTGTGGTGAATCCTCGTTTGTACAACTTCAACGGTGTGCCTGGAGCTACAGATCCATTATTGGATCCCTCTTTTGCCAATTTGCTCCGAACCATGTGCCCTTCAGACCAGCCCTTGACCATTGTAGGACAAATGGATGCCACCAACAGCACATTCGATACCAATTACTTCAGAGCCGTGAACAATCGTAGAGGTCTCTTCTTATCAGACTCTACCCTCCTCAGCAACCCTGTCGCTCGTAGGATTGTGAACAGAGCAGCAAGGTCCCCCCGCAGTTTCTTCAGCGACTTCGGAAGGTCGATGGTAAAAATGGGCAATATTAATGTTCTGACTGGATCTCAAGGAGAGATAAGGCAAGTGTGTTCCGCTGTCAACACAAATGCGTGATTTATCAGATTTGGAGGGGCTAATGTGTACGTCCCGATAGATGCAGGATTGCTGAGATTCACATTTGCGGATGGCATCAATTAAGTGATGTATCCAAGCCCTGTCGAGTAGGCGTTAAGACTATTTACTACACATGAGCTTACATGTGAACTTTACGTAGAACTAGGACTAGGATAGCTGTACCAGCATTGTGATTTATTTACATTCTTTATCTCAGGTTTCTTTTGATTCCAATAAAACATATCCGACCAAATGAAGCTGTTGGAGAATCTCCTTACACCATTCTTTCTGTCGGAGAAATCATGTTGAACAATAGATGCTTATCACTACAAACAACATATTTTTCAGTCACAAGTACCATTGAATAAAATGATTGTAATTTGCTCTATAATCAAGCATGTTTAATGGTCTTACATATAAAGTTCAAAACATTGAATAAATCTTTGTAAGCGACAATGCAACGAGCTGTATATTGTACGGCGAGTATGACTACGCAGGGGGCTGGTTTCACATGCGAACAAGTGAGACATTACGACCACATTATGACTGAGGTCAAAACCTCTCTTATGATGTACTGTGCACGATTGTACGTGTATACAGTTACTTATCATTATCATGATACTGTATATATAGTCCGCAGGTTACATAGTTCTGCGTGGTGGACGGTCATCTCTCCAAATGTCCCAGAATAGAACATCATCTGCTTGACAAGAGCATTCCAATTCCAAAATTGGAATTGTAATGCTCGTTTGGAGTCATCGAGAGGTGAAGTTTGGAGTCATTGAGAGATGAAGTATCAAATTTGTGAAGCATTGATTGGTCTCTATTGAAACACATTCTTGTTCTGATCAGCTGACTGTGTAATGACTGTCCTAGTGCCACTGAGTTCACACACAATCTCCGTTCAATGACAAGGAGTTCAAAACTACGCTGTTGGCGTCGAAGTGTAGTTGACGCCAACTACACTTCGACGTGGAATGAACATTGCAGGCACCCGACGTTGACCATTTACATGCGAGTTGTGTAGGTAGAGTGCAACATGAATGGATCTCTCTTCGAATCGTAACAGTAAAAGTACCTCAGACGTTGACTTCTGACTTTTCTCATCTTATGGTGGATCTTACTTGGAAGTTGGCATCAGCAGACCTGGTCGTCCTTCCGTAGATCCGGGCATTGATCTAGATAGTAAGTGATGTAGTTACTGGAAGATATAGGATCCAGGTTGCAAGTTGATTTGAAGCTTATATGAGAAGCGAAGTCTGACGTCAGAACTGCCTAGCGAGCCGTCAACATGCATTAAATTTTAGCTGCTATTCATGCAGGTATCATCTATAATCCCCGTTGAGTCGGAACTTATCGCAATCCAAGAAAGCTTCTCGCTTGATGGTTGCGTGGTAATGCCTTATGGAGCGCTCTATGTATTGTCTGCACAGTGCAGTCGCCAAGGATCAAAGTCCGTTGAAACAGATGCGGAGAACTATGCGAAATGTAGAGAAGATGGGTGCAAGATCAATATATCCCTAGAATGTAGAGTTTATTTGAATATTTATAAGTACGAGTCGAATTGCATACGGACCATAAACCGGTGCTAAAAGTTTGTTATCAGATTCTGCCATCGACTGCGAGAGATGGAACCACCAGATCAATCACTAGTACAGAAATCCATGGCTGCCGGGATTTGCAAGTACAATTTCATATTTGATTGCCTTATTGATATGCCGAACTCATTGACCACAGAGGAATGTTGTGCCTGCTTTGACTTGATTAAGAATGCAAATCAAGTAATAAGTTTCATTACTTACTATGCAGGAGGCTTACATCCAGGATTCAAACTTGATGGCATGTCTCCTCCGTACAGAGGACTTGCTACAAAGACTGCTTTGAGGACAATGGAATAATGCTGTCATTCTTCAAGATATAAGTCTTAACAAATTTTCATCCCCCCAAATTTGAACATTTTCTTTCAATTTGGCTTAAGCTGATGGGCTGTGCATAGAGATTGACACAATGACGGACACTTGCATTCATTGCTCATGGCATCGATATGACTCATGGTACGCACACAAACTCCTCACGTGCATCCAGACATAGAAGCTCAAAATTCTAGCCAGAATCTCACAATCATATACTATAGTAACTTTATGCTTTGCGGCTCACAGGTTCAGTTTTTTTAGTCGAAAGTGCCAAGTATACACAATGCATGACGCACCGTGGAGCGCAGAAGATACAGTGCAATGGCATTAGCTGAAAGTTATTGAGGAGGAGGTGACTTAAGACGTGAGATATCTTCAAAACAGGACCGTAGAAGCAGATTTGCTGTATATTATAACTGGTACAGGACTAGGAGATTATCTCTAAGCGAAGCAATTAGTTCAGAGTCGTCACAAGACTCGACACGGTGGTTCTAAAGATGGGCGAAGTGTACAAGGAGCTGTTAAATCTGTGCCCTCCAGGTTTCAGCTCGAGGGTTCTTTTAGATCAGTAGTTTAAATCGAATTATATTTGGAAACCCTTTAACTTGCACATGGTATCCTCACTAAAGTATCCAAACCCCCAAATAACTCCAAATCATAAGGAACAAAGAGTTGAAGACTTTGCAAGATACCTTGGCTACAAGAGGTCCACTTCACCTGGCCGCCGACCGATACAGCTGTGCATTATACACGGAACCGTGAGTGATTTCGACAAAGCAAGTGAAAGACAGATTGATATGGAGCTTCATTGCAAAAAGTCCATAACAGTCACTTTTGCTCAATTCCATCATCCAATTGACTTAAAGTAAAGAGATTGCGAAACAGATTTTTTAGATGTCATCAATGGACATCGAAAACGAGGTGGTATTACGCGTTATCAATATCCGTACGACATAGAATAAAGTGTAATCGATATCTAGCTGAGAATGAAATATCTTTCTATTGGAATGTTGTTCCATAAAAAGATGTGATTGTAAAGGCTGGATAGCCTATACAACCAGTTGAATGCATCTAATCGAAAGCTTTTGTATTTGAACTCCTAAAAATTAAGAAACACATGTGAGTCTAGAAGTCAAGCACTGTATTCCTTCGTGGACACTTCTAGAGAGTCGCGTTATGTACCACGGTGTCCGGTGGTTTCTCTAACTTTCAAATTAGAAATTTGCTTATGAATTGACCTTCATTGATGAATTAAATACCATTGAGATATTCGGTGTACGTGATGATGAGAATAATCACATGCACACCGATCATCAAAACTCAAGCCAACACTTCCGTTTGCACACGTAATTTTAAACAAAGACTGTTCTCTAATCATGTTTGAATACCTCTATATGTAGTCGATGACAGTGCATAAGATTCGGAATTGCCAATAGAAAGGTAAAGAAAAATTCTTCGAAGAGCTTTATTTGTACATCCGCTACCAGATATGGTGACTGATGTGCTATGAGAAAAAGAATCTTGACAGACCAGCTCACAGTACAGTTATCATATACATGTATTTGGGTGATCTTCACTTAGCATGTTGTAAGCTTCTGACTATCGTGCTATTAGCTGCGACTGCTTCATGTTTTAGATAATTCATAGAATGGTGAATCCCTCTACCAGTATCAATCTATAGCTTAAATACCCGGTTTCTGCCACCAAATATATAGCTGACAATCCCACCTAATTTCCTACATCCGCTAAATTTCTAAAAGCTGTTGACAGCGGAACAGACACGTCTGACCTCTCCACGAGATCCAGTCAAAACACCGATCTTGCCCATTTTCACCATGGAGTTTCCGAAGTCGGAGAAGAAACTTTGGGGGTTCCTGGCAGCTTTGTTCACAATTCTGGCACCGAAAGAATTTGTGAGAAGGGCAGCATCTGATGTGAAGAGTCCCTTGTTACTCTTAACGGCTTTGAAGTATTTGTTGTCGAAAGTGCCGTTAGTTGCATCCATTTCACCAATAAAAGTCAAAGGCTGGTCTGACGGGCAGAGGGTTCTGAGGAAGTCGGCATAGGTGGGATCAAGTGATGGATCAGTGGCTCCGGTCACACCGTTGAAGTTGTACAGACGAGGAATTACCACTGCACAATGAGCCTGGCCGATTGTGTGCCCACCTGCCAGAAATGTTATGCATACACATGAGTCCTCGTGTTCACGTTCAATACTGCAGTCATACTTTCAGAGACTGAATCCTGTCAGTAGAGTTCATCAGGCATCTAGTTGAAGTGATGGATGTGGAATTGAATAAAGTACCTGAAAGAATAACCATATCCTTCGTGTTAAGTCCAACAGCAGCGAAGTTCTGTACTAGCTCATCGAAGGTCATGAATGGAGATGGTAGACTAGTATTGGCTTCAACCAGGGAAGTTACGAATCCATCCTTTCGGCCGAGAGGTACTGACCAGTACCTTCCCCCAACCTGTCGAAAAATGCGCAAGATGTACTTGGATTTAGTTTGATCGTCGAGATGCTGAAGGAAGGAGCGGATAGATTGCTTTCTAATAATATCTGATTGTTAGCTGATAGATTGTTATTGCAGTAACATACAAGGCGCTGTGACACCATATAAAATTCTTCAATAGATGCCCCTTCGCATAAATTTCCAATCAAAGTTTTTAAACAGCGTAGTTTACGTACCTTCACAACGGCATCACGAGCTGCCAAAGCCAGGATATCCGCACAAGAAACTACACCAGGGCAAGTGTTCTCAACCAATGCCTTGATAGCATCAACTTCAGCGAATCCTCTGAGAGAGCCGGCATTTGGTGGTGCATCTTTCTCTCCCGAGTTTGAGGATGAATCCAGAAGCACTGATCCATCACAACCCTGAGAGTTTTACAAAATTTTGGCATAAGTACAAAATTCAGAAATAAAGAGTGCTCTGCCTTCCTCACACAGTTCAGGTTACGTCAACTGAAACTCAGAATCGCTGATGTTCACACTTTAAAGCACTAACAGGAGGAAAAGTCAAGAGAGTCGAGCATTCATTAAGCCAAATACGTTCAACGTTGAATACGGTTGAACTGAATACCAGGGTTCTGAAGAGAAATAGCTTACCCTGACGAAGCAGTCATGAAAATGGAGACGCAGTAAACCTGGAGCCATGCCTCTATCTGCATTGATTAACTGATTGACCTTGTTACGGACTACGCTTTCCAGCTTTGGGCAAGTCCGAGAATAATATGATCTGGAAAGCTTAGCCCCGGAGGTGACAGCCCCCATCAAGAGAACGGTGAAAAGGAAAAGTTGACATCTCAATCTAGCTGAAGCCATGTTTGAATTATTTTTTCAATATACTATTTTTTCTTTTATCTGTTGTTCTTTATGTTGAGCTCTTGAATCGTCTTCCAATACAGCGAAGTTTTTCTGGTCAAGGTCTCGATCGGACGCCTCTGTGTTTTCAGTTTTCTGCAGATAACATTGCACTCTGCTGTTATATTCTATAATTCTATTCACTTTTCAAATCTCATGCATAAAGAATCCACTCGAAATTTTATACAAACACAAATCTACTGGTTCAGACAACAGGAATAGGATGGGGATTCTGGAAGAACTTTCAGAAAGTTGAGATCCAAGCGAACAACAAGAATGTTCAAGAGTGCATGGTTTTCGTTGACTAGCAAGTCTTAAATCAAAAAATCTCATGGAAACATAGCACCCTAGAATTACATCGAGTGAGCAAAGAGAACTTCTTCGAACTCCAATTACTGCTTTCTACAGGCAGTGCAGATGACCATATGAGTATATTTGTAATCAAAATAAGACAAGATCAGTTCTAACTGAGCTTGAGAAATCAGACTTCATAATGTTTCGTGATGCTAGTTGGAAAGCACTTACCAGATGATTTGCACCCGATGAGTTTGGCCAAGTACTTCGCTTCTGCTTTGTGTCCTCCGCTACCCCGACCTTATACTCCGACTTTTCCATCTAGTATTCTAGGAATCTTCTAACGAGTGTGAAGGGAGCCTCTTCCACTCAACGTTGGGATTGTCTGCACGCTGGCCTTGATGTTTGGCCAGCTTGATCGAAACAGATACACCCTATACTGTAGAATTTTGGGACAGATTTAGCTCGAGCTAAAAGCGATTCTACCATTTCTATCCCTTCGTGACCTGTCCGAACAGTTTTACACAATTGTACGTGGAGAAAGTAGATAAAAAAGCTGACGCTTGAAGGTTGCTCTCTCACAAGAAAGAAATTACTGCAACCTTCAAGCAGTGGCTCGAGCTGCTATGTCCACTTTAGACATAATGGTTACAGTTTGCCACAGATGTCAACGTGGATGGAGTCAAATGCAAGGGGCAGCAGACCCGGTCAACAAGGCCTGTATGACAGTGGAGATGCATTGAGGTCAGTTCTTGCGTAGTATGTTTCGTCCAATATTAGCATTATTCCAGTGCAATAAGGAATACTGCTGACTGCTTGCCATGGCCACTTGATTTCTGAAAGTTTTAGTCAGCAAGTTTCATTGGTGATCAGTGGTTGCTATTTGCCGCGAAATGTACAATTTCAAAAGTCTTGGCAAGGGATGTTTGTATGCTACGTAAGCAGGATGGAGTGACTGGCTTACACGAACACGTAGAGACCCCCGAATGGGGTTGTCGTGGATATACAGGGCCACGAAGAGTTGAACGCGGTGAATGACCGATACACCAGAGGGATAGCACTGTTTGTGTCGTAGAGTGAGATGATGATACTCTTGCATCCGGACCTGTTCCACGCATGCTGAAACTGATAAGCAGTAAAGGTTTCTTCGATCTCGACTTGTAGTATCTCACTCGGTTCCTTGGAGATTACTGATTAACTCAAGAACTGGTTTAGCTAAGGGGCTCATCGATGATCTTGATGGCACTTGATTTCAGATGAATAGGAAAAAAACTGACGGCAACTTTTCTTCACAATGAACGACGTGAGACTGAGTCCCCTTTCTTGACTCAGATTTGTTCATTCTTAATAAGATAGACAGTATGTTGAGCATTCTTCGCATTCTACACAGTTGCTTCCGGAGCTTCTGCTTCTGTTCGTTGTCGAGATTTATGCTTTTCAGGACGCAATCTTACTCAGACACTAATCCTGGATATGGCATCTGATAAAGTTCATGAAATTGCTGGCTTGAACAAGTCCAGGGTTGTCGAGATTTATGCTTTTCAGGACGCAATCTTACTCAGACACTAATCCTGGATATGGCATCTGATAAAGTTCATGAAATTGCTGGCTTGAACAAGTCCAGGGTTGTCGAGATTTATGCTTTTCAGGACGCAATCTTACTCAGACACTAATCCTGGATATGGCATCTGATAAAGTTCATGAAATTGCTGGCTTGAACAAGTCCAGGGCCATCTCCAGGAAAGATACGATATTAATGTTTCCATGCCGCCTATCTCTTCTTACTTCCTGTGTGTATGAGGGTTTTCTCCACCATCTGATTCTAACTCCTTCGGAGACAAATCTAGTAGTTCATAGAACTTCGGCTAGAACCGACATATGCGGCTTCGTCGTACAAAATGACTATCTGACACAGGTGCGTATCGTAAATTCGCTAGATCTGATTCTTGCTTGCAGCTTCAAGATTATTAAACTGTAGTTTTAAAGTGCGACTGAATAGATTAAACGATGCACATTCAGTATAGTTAGTCAATCGCTTGTGCCGTGGTCGTTTGAGATCTGAGTTCCATAAGCATTTTGTTACAATCAGTCCGTAAAGCTGTTCACAATGCTTGTGGTGAGCTGATTAGTCATCCTACTGAATGAGATTCTTACTAGATCTATGAGAAGTTGATAGTGCAAACGCACACAATTGTCGAGGCACAAAGTCAAATGCCTAGTCTCTAGTTACGAAATTTACACTCGAATCTGATTGGTTCACTTCACTTCATTAGAGAGCTTGTTCATTGTCTAGAATTCCGATAATACATGGTCGTACATCAAAAATATTGTATCACATTCAATTATTATTTTAAAGTTTCCTACAACTTCACACCAGAGGGTTAAAAACATAAAATACAACTTAATTGAACCAATCTTGAAATTTTTTCTCTCTTTTGCACCCACAATATCTCAAAGTACGGAATCTACATATTCATCAATTCAAATTCTTTGCTTTGAAACTAATACTCTTAAACATTCCATTATATTGGTACATGGTAACTGCTGGGATTGTAGGAGATAAAAGCACCTCATGTGATGCACAAGATCTGAGGATCTAAATATGAAGGGACTAATAGGTTTAGTGCTTATCTACATGTATAGAAAAGATAAATTGTTCAAGGTATGAGTTTTCGATCCTTGCTTGCATATCAGACACTGAGATCCGCAGATTTGTAGCCAATTCCCAGTTCCGCCCACTCAGTAAAGGATACCAACAAGGAGAAGACACAACGAGGCCCAGATCAGACACGAGTAGTGAGATGACCAAATCAAGAGAGCTAGATTGATGATTAGTGCTCATTTGATATCTTCTGATAAAGATCCTGTTAGAATGAATTTTCCATGAATTTTAACTGGTAATTGCAGATATGTTTTCCGCTCCTTATCAGGTTTGTGAAATGGCAGAAATCTATCTAGTGAGAGCTACTCTACAAGTGATTTGCCAGATTATCACCAAATCTGCATATGAGATCATTTGGAATTGAAATCTTCTCGATGCCATGTCGTTTCTATAGGTCACATATGAGGTTAGGATAATCATGCTTAGGGTGACCTGAAAGTGGTTGGAGGAAATAGCTGACAGTCTGTATATTGCAGACGAATGAGAAGGTTTTAACTCGTTTTCCTGAAGCATTGGTACAGGTTGAAGTTGGCAAAATTTTTGAGGTTTGACTTAGAAAACGAATATTAAAATGCCACTCTTTTATAAAGTCAGACTTGCGTTGATCGACTTTGGCATATTGTGCTCACGAGTAGGTTGAAGATTGTTTCTATGGCATTGCAGAAATGTTTTTTAGATAAATGGATACACATTTTATGATTGGCAGATCCTCCTCACTTTCCTCACATCAAACGCTTGTGTCATCCACTCACTGACAAGAACAACTGCAGACTGAGATCGAGGTCCAACTTCTCATCATACGAGTAGAACGACATATACCTAGAATACAATATATTGGCATTCTCGTTACAGATATTAAAGACTGATCCCGTAACTGAGTATCTGATCTTGAGAGCAAATTTGCAGATGTAGTTCTAAATAAAACATTGAACTAGATGGAGAGAACTTCTTCCAGAATCTGAAGTCGCTCATTGTCAGCCAACATCATTAAAAAAAAACCTACATCTACATGGGCGTCTTAGATGTAAGGCAAGTGAAAATGAAGACGGAACCATTTTGGGGTTACATTTAATCTTATTCCTAATTCTACAGAATTACATACCAACAGATATCACATACTCTCTTCATCTTCAACTTTGCACCTACTAAGCATGTAGAAACTAAATTATAAGAAATTGTGTCATCAGTACGTGACCGTGCTGACCTTTGTTCATATCAGAGCATGTACTATAACAAAGTTTGTAAATGATCAGAGCAAGCAGAGGGCTTCCAGCAAGTGTCTGCCTGGCTAGATTTTTACATACATTTGGGACAATGAGCATGTGCATTACTTTTCGAAGGCGGAAGTGAGTGGCTTCGACCTGAGTAAAGACCCCAACTTCTGCAAAGTCAACCAGTTTCATAACTCCAAATTATGTGCCAACATAGACTCTATTCTTATCTGAAAAGATATAAGACACGCCGTCTGTGCTATTGTCGATGAGAAAATATCAGATCCCGTTCTGAAAACCGGAGTGGGTTGAGTCGAGACCCTGCGGAAAGTTCAGCTAACCTTCATAGCAGCCCACAAGACTAATGTTCCATGAGTTACTTCTTGAGTAGTAGAATGTGAACTTGTCAGAACAGGGGCGCAAACCCTCTCATCGGACACGCCTTCACCTTCTGCTGTTTTATGTTTGTGAGTTTTTCCTCACGTCCTAGCAAGGGACACTAACCGCGCATCCATGTGTAGCACTACGTGGAGAGTCGATTCTTATGAGTGTAACCACTGTCTTGCGATAGGATAATTTCAGATGCGTGCATATATTATAAATGCACTCATCTGCATTTATTGGTGAAATTTCTGCATTTAATCTCCGTATAAAATTCTAAATCAGACGCTTAATACATTGACCCATAAATTCATTCTCTAGTGTCAACGGTGGAGACGAATCACTATAAATGAGAATTATGCAATACTTCGCTGAACTCTGTCCATGAGATTTTAATTTAATTATTGTGGCACTTTTATTCATGATATCGCGACCTACATGGTGCCTTCTCTAGCGAGATGGATGTAGAGCCAATAGGTAATAGGTAGCATTTGCTAAGATTGCTGTTAGAAGACCTTGTGCTCAAAGGTGCAGGTTGGATTAGGAATATTTTCGTTGGAGTTTCCGAAGTATAGTCTTTGGTGGTGTAGCTACTGCCAAACTTGAAACATGAAACAGAACATGTAACCACTGCCAAACTTGAAACAAAAACACAAAGTGATTTTGTTGTAATATGACAAATGCTTTAGTCTATAGTTTAGGATGGTAGTTTAGATTTAGTGTAGGTAGGGTACTTGTGTATGTTTTGAAAGAACAAAATATTATTGTGAATTATAAATGCTTGGAGATTTATAATTCTTAGGTCGGTTTCAATCTTGGGATCAAGTCAATACCAAGTTTGATATTATCCAAGTTGAATTTAATATTTTGCTTTCAGTGCCGAAATCTTGAAGAAGTTCTCTCCAAGGATAAATTGAAAAAATAGGTCAATACTTATAATTCTTTTGAAACTAAAAAATGGAATTAGATTAAAGATTAAGATTTTACATGTTTTCTTAAGTGAGACGTACGTGATATAATTGAGTGCTTGTAACTTGCTTGCGTATTTGTGATTATCTTAGGATTAAAATTAAATTTTAGGATTAAAATTGCTTGTTTTTTTGATATCTTGTGGTTTAGTTTCTGTCAAGGTTACCTTCCGTTGAGGTTTTTGATGAAATTTGCCTTCTTATTTTTGTTTAGCTATCTAA